AGTGTACAAGGAGCCCTAAACCCTATGAGCCCTGCAAGTAAGCCCTATAAGCGGCATTGCTATCATGATTTGGAAAAGTACTTCGGGCGCTTCGGGATATTTTGCCTGAAGGGTCGGGAGAACTAGTATAAGTATAGCCAGTCCCTTCCATATTAAGTATTGCAATTTCTGTTTTCGAAAACAGGACTTTCAAGCTTGAACCGTTGCGGAGAAAACGAGTTGTTGGCGGATTTCGGGTGTCACCATGGCATGCACCATGCATAAGCCAAGATGGATCGTGCTTTGTTCTGACATGTTGTCTATTTCCTGGCAAATTAGCTGCTCTGTTTTGCATCTCGCATCTTGTGGCTGAATCCGTTGAGTCTGAGTTCAACTCAGGAAAGAGAGTGCACCTAATCCCTAAACTCAGGTGCATAAAGCCTGGGCACGGAAGGATTCACGTAGCAGTTTCAAGGTGCCGCGTCCGTGGGCTCAAGCTGAGTATCACATACGTTGATGGCCATACTTGCTTAGAGCCCTTAAAGCAGTGTTGCTTGACAGCAAGCCTGTACTGGGACTCCCTGTTCGGCCGTGTTGTGTGTCAAGCCGCATTTATTGACTAAAACCAGGAGAACAAAAAACACCTAGATCCCTGTAGACCCCTAGACTATTCATCCCTAGACTATTCATTAAATTACATTAAACTTAAAATAAACCCTAAACCCTAAACCCTAAACCCGAAACTTAAAATAAACTAAAAAGGTCTTGAAGGCTCTGAGGTAAGGGCCCCTGCGATGATGGCGTCTTCGCCGGAGGGGTCAGAGCTCGCTGCAGCGGGGGGGCCGTCTGACGAGGTGTGGTCTGCTTTATGAGGACTGTAGCTACCCATAGGCCCTAAAGTAGTTCCTTCTTGGGGTTCATATATAGAATCCTATAAGGTAATCCCATAAAGGAACTACTAAGGGACCTATGGGTAAGCTATATTGATAATAGTTTTTGTGTTGTATTTTGTGTGTTGTTGTTATTCTGATGATGATTACCACTACTGCCATTATTAAATAGTACAAACACAAACATACATACTACATGCAGCTTATAACCCAGATGCATATATATATATATATATAGTATGTGTATATATATATATATATAGTATGTATACATGTGTATATATATAGAGAGAGAGATAGAGGGGCCTAAACAATAATGAACGCTATGGAGAAGTGTAGTAGAATATCACCCGGAACCGTATGGGTTTGGGCCGGGTGTATAGAGCTAGGTCTGGGTTTGTATTTTAAGTTTTGTGTTTGGGGGCCTTATTTAGTTTAACCCAAGTCTCTCCGGGGGCAGCGGTCGCAAGGCAGCATCCGCAACAGAGCAGTCTCCATATAACCTTGAGGGGTGCTGCAGGGGCAACCTAACGTGTGGGTCGGAATGGTTAGGGTTTAGGGTTTAGGGTTTGGGGTGTGTTTATGTTATAATATACCTCAGAGCTACTACTCCACGTATGCAGGCCACAATGTGCCCTGAACCCTAGTGTTTGCTAATCATCAAGCCCAATTGTAAACCCTAAACCCTGAAAGCCCTAAACCCCAAACCCTAAACCCTAAACCGTTTAGGAAGTTGGCCTTCGAGGCTACAGGATGACATGGCCTTGGCCTCTTGTGAACGGATTCCGTTAAGGGTTCGAAGAAAGGTTACCCTTAGCATCAAAATAGCCCAAAACGTTCATAGAATAGGGTCTTTGGGCCCAAACGCCTGAAAATATGAGTCCTTCGAGGGTAAGGGTAACCCTAAACCCTAAATCCTAAACCCTAACCCTAAACTTAAGCAACCCCGAGGAAGTGGCTTCATGATGTTTAATAGGATCTCCGGCTCTACTTACACTCGAACTCCACGGGTTTAGGGTTTAGGGTTTAGGTAGTATGAGCTTTGGTTTGCGAGTATCTGCTATCCAAACTTCAGATGTTCAGCCACCTCCCCCCTAGAACAGAAACCTTAAACCCTGATCCCCTAATCCTGAGACAGGAGGCAGCACTCATCAACGAGCAAGCGGCGGATGACTTGCTTCAACAGCTCACGTTGGAAGAGAAGGTTCCGAGGGTTTAAGGCTCTTCTGGGGGCTAAGAGTCTTGTGTTGAAGGTTGGTGTAGGGGCTTAGGGTTTATAGGGTTTAGGGTTTAGAGAAGCATGAGCACCAAGTACTTCTCAGGACTCGCCAGCTTTTCGCACTGAGAGTGCTAACAGGAAGTAGAATAACAAATACTGGTCGAGTCAAGGCACAGCACGAACAATAACAAACAAACATGCTGCATCACAGCAACACAGCAGTCCATGGAGCAGTATGACATGCAATAACACTGTCTCCGCCCTCTACCCTCAGAATCACCACATCCAGACGCCAGGCGGCCAGACCCGTAGCAGCTGCAACTGTCCCCTAAGGGTCCAAGTGCCCAAATAGTAGGGTTTCAAGGTCCAAAAACCATTCAGAGAGAGTATGGTTTTTGGGACCTAAAACCTTACTACTTGGGTACTCGGACCCTCTGGGGTCTAGAGTCTGGATGTCCCGCTGCAACCGAAGTGACTTTCCAGTCTTCACCCCGCACGGCATGCTCACAGCCTTTCACAGCCTTTGGCAGCACAGCCGCTGAACGACCACCTCTACCGTTGCAGAAAACCGTATCTTCCCTAAACCCTAAACCCTAAACCCTTTGCAGGACTTCAGTTCAAGCTGTACTCCCTTCTTACAGTCTTGCGGATCACCATGGTCACTACTACAATGGTCGCTCCCATGATGTTCATGACTTCTCCGTTACGCACTTCTAGCATTGTGAGGATGATGCACAGTGTTCTCCGTGTACAGATTGACATTGTGTAGATAGCTAGCTAGAAAGACAGCTCTGGCAAGTTCTTGCATCCTTAACCTTTAAGCCCTGTAGTTCCTGAACCCTAAACCCTAACCCCAACCCTAAACCCTAAACCCTAAACCCTAAACCCTAAACCCTAAACCCTAAACCCTAAACCCTAAACCCTGACCCTAAAACCCGAAACCCTCAACCCCTAAACCCTAAACCCTAAACCCTCAACACCCGAACACGCAATCCTTCCAGGGTTCAGGGTTATGAGCTCATCACGGAGAGGTGGGAATGGTCAGCGGCGTGAACATGTGGGAGGCAGCTGACAGTTCGACATCGCATTTGGGAGTTTCCGAAAATAGGGGACCCTAATATAGTACCCTAAATAGTAGGACCCTTTTTATAAGGACTCCCAAAGAAGGTACCCCAATTTTCGGAAACTCCCATTTGAACATTGCAGTTGAGTTTAAGGTCTAGGGTTTAGAGTTTAGGGTTAGACTCCACGGTTAGGGCTTAGCGATTAGGCTTCTTGAACCTCGAGAAAACCAAGGTGTAAGAAGGATGGAAGTCTGCTAATTCTTGTAGTGTCATTGTTGTAATAGAAGTGCTTAGTTTCTCCAGGCGAACAACTACTAAACCCTAAAACCTGAACCCTAAACCCCTAGAACCTCTACCCTAAAACCTAAGCCGTAGGCTCTAAGCCTTCAGCTTTGTGGCATCGGCGTGCGGCCGAACCCCCTTGAGTCCCAAACCATGAGATCAGGGTTTAGGGTTTAGCTTTTAGGGTTTAGGGTTTAGGGGTGTAGCGTTTAGGGTTTAGCTTTGAGGTTTAGGGTGTATAGCTTGTAGGGTTTGGGGGCTTGTTGTCAGGACTGCCACGAACCTACGTGGCATGTTGATGGACAGGAGCAATCAGCACTGTAGGTAAGAGTAGGGTTCCTGTAAAGGCTTCTACAAGGGATCTACTATAGGAGGGTTCCGTAATCTAGGGGCCTTCATAACAGCAACGGCCTGGTAAAGCAGTGCCCACAGCCTTTGCTGTCTAGCATGCTATTCTGTGGGAATTGGCCTCGACGGCACACACTCGATGAGAATGCGGAATTGGTGGAGTCAGGTGTGGGTGAAGGTCCCCTTCGCAACAACACATCAATAGCAAAGTCTTCATGAAGACCAGAAGCCCTTATTGAACAAGGTAACTGCTTCCTAGTTTCCCAAACCACCCAGCCAACAAATCTCCGAGTTTTAAGTTTCAACCCCCTACACCCTACCCTAAACCCTAAACCCTAAACCCTAAACCAGGTTTTCCGTAGGGTTTCGGAGAATGTGCTGCCTCCTGACAGTCTGGTGGCGTTCCGCGACTGGGTTTGCAGAACCTCCGCTTTTCCGATGGCGTCTTGGTTGGAACGAGCGATCTCAGCGCTGCATACTACCAATTAAAAAATAATTTAAAGGTCCGAAGAACGAGATAGCCAAAAGTAGGGTTTCTGTACTAGGACTTACGGTTATGGTTTGGATAAGCTAGTATCCTGTGTGCAGCAAAATTTGACTGCACACCTTTATGTTATTAACTATTTGGGTTCTATCAGAGCTGAAAACAGGAGTTCATCACGGTATGTCTCTGCAAGCTTTCTGAAGGCCTTTGTCGAACCGGTCGAACCGATCAAGAAGTATATAACGAATGGAGGTACATCGACCCTCTAGGAAAGTGGGGATGAGCTTGGGATAGGACTATGTAGCTGTGCGTAATCACAAGAAAGCCGGTTTTTGCTAAGTTAGGACAACTTATACCGGGCAGCCCAAACACCCTCGGACGAGAAGTTGGGATCTGCATCTTCTAGCCTCCTCGCTATCGCACTGCACATTCGGTTGAGCATGGTAAGCGTGAATGTAAGCTCAGGGCACTTAATGCTCAACCGCATGCTCTGAAAATTAAATCTCCTCCTCAGGAAGAGATACAGAACACGATGCAAAGGCCATCGCACGAGAACTCGGGTACTTCAGTTCGTTAGGCTTTCAGGGTTGAGGGTTTAGAGCCTAGGGTCTAGCGATTAGATGATGTTTGTTATCGCCTCTCATTGGCACACTGCCGTCAGATGTGGCTCTTCGTCTATTGAAACGAGCAGATGGTGTGATTTGCCGATCAATGTGTCGTGGTCATGAGGCGGCATGAAAGGGTACGGTAAGAAGCCCATCATTCGCGTTAGTGAGGCAATGTATGTCTTCAGAGCCGCCCTGGAGCTAGCCATACTTTGCTGGACATCCTGGATCACAGCAGATTGTCTAGGTTCGTTTTGCGTCGGCGCCTGGTGCTGGCGAGCGAGGCCTCCAAGTGGGTTGTCCGAGGAGCATGTCCGGCAGATGTCCTACAGAAAACGGACATTCGGGGATGGCTACAAATCGAGAACTTCCTTCGGCGATAGGCACGTGCGTGTGGTGACACCAGGTGTTCAGTTGGTCTCCTCCGGGCTGAGCGCCTGGAGGCAACGGAATGTGCCGATGCTTTGGGGAGCAGATACGGGAGTCTCAGCAGGCTACGCTCACACTTGTGCACTGACATTCGGTGGGCAGTTGGTCTGCTTTGGATGGAATGGCAACGGACTATGTGATGTGCCGACGAGTTTGGGAGCGGTTACGGCAGTCGCGGCAGGCAAGGCTCACACGTGTGCAGTGACTTCAGATGATCAGTTTGTCTGCTTTGGACGGAATGGAAGTGGACAGTGTGAGGTGCCGACGAATTTGGGAGCAGTCGTGGCAGTCTCAGCAGGCGGCGACTTCACGTGCGCATTGAGATCAGAGGGTCAGTTGGTCTGCTTTGGATTCAACGGCTATGGACAGTGTGATGTGCCGACGGATTTGGGAGCAGTTGTAGCAGTCTCAGCAGGCGACGACCACTCGTGTGCAGTAAGATCGGATGGCCAGTTGATTTGCTTCGGTAGTAACGCTCACGGACAATGTGACGTGCCGAAGGATTTGGGAGCAGTTGCGGCCGTCTCGGCAGGCAAGGCTCACACGTGCGCAGTGAAATCGGATGGTCGGTTGCTCTGCTTTGGATGGAACGGCAATGGACAGTGTGATGTGCCGACGGATTTGGGAGCAGTTGTAGCAGTCTCAGCAAGCGACGACCACTCATGTGCAGTAAGATCGGATGGCCAGTTGATCTGTTTTGGAAGTAACGCTCACGGACAATGTGACGTGCCGGAGGATTTGGGAGCAGTTGTGGCAGTCGCAGCAGGCGGCCTTCACACGTGTGCAGTGAGATCGGATGGTCAGTTGGCCTGCTTTGGACACGAAAGGGCTGCAGGATGCAACGTGCCGACGGATTTCGGAGCCGTCTCGGCAAGCGACCCTCACACATGTTGAGTGAAGTTCCGAGACCCGGGCCCAGGTCGCACATCTCCAGGTTCAGGGAGATGTCCTCCATCTTCGCCAGGGTCTTCGCCCCTGCATTGCCTTGGCGCAGATTTTTTCATCGGCGAGGGGTCCGTTATTTTGCTTCGGATGAAATCATCGCGGACAGTGCAATATGCCGAGAGTTGTCACGGTCATACTGGGTATGTGCCGGGGCTATTCCTTCATCTAATCTAGCAGTGACAATCTCTCTGGAGGTGTTTCGCAGCTAGCACAGCCCCGTCATTTCGACCGTTACGCATTTATGCTGCAACACTCAGTGTTTCGGAAGGATGCTGGTCTGCACATTTTAGCCTTGTTAGCAACCCTTACCCTCAAAGGACTCATAGTTCAAGGCTTTTGGCCCAAAGACCCGATTATATGAGGCTTGTGGGCTATTTTGATGCTAAGGGTATGAGTATTTTCATACAAGTATGCCAGAATATCCACCAAGACCAGAACCCTAGTCGAATGATTACGCTCGACACTCGCTGTCTTGCATACCGCGCCGGCCGAAAAGCCCCAAAAGTCTCCTAGACCCCTCCATAAACCCTAAACCCCACAAGTCTATTGGAGTATCCTAAAAATTAAACCCTAAACCCTAAACCCTAAACCCTAAACCCTAAACCCTAAACCCTAAACCCTAAACCCTATCAGGATTGAGGCAGCAGAATTGGGAACTTCGGAGTTGTGGACGAGGTGGAAAATCGAGGTATTTTTGTTTTTGGGGTTTGAGGCTAAGGTTTGGGAGTTTAGGTTTTAGGGCTTATGGGGTTTACAGGGCTTTTAGGGTTTATAGGGTTTTCGGATTAAGGGTCTAGGGTGAAGGGTTTACCACTGTAACCTGATTGACAGCTTGATTTTGTTTGGACTCCGTACAGGATGTGAGGAATGCTCCTTCACGACAGGTTCTACCCTCAACCCCCCCGCCCCCACCCAACCATACTTCGAGATCACGAAACCCAAGTATAAACCCTCAACCCTTAAACCCTCAACCCTAAATGCTCAAACCCTGAACCTTAAACCCTCAACCCTTAATGGAGCCTTTAAATACCTAATCCCCAAACCCCTAAACCGTGGCCTTTAAAGGGCTCCGACCTTCCGAGGCCCCCATACCCCTTCAATAAGGAATATACCTTAAATCACACTACTAAGGCCCCTATAACTTAAGGCATATTCCTTAGTTGAAGGGTATTGGGTTCTCTGGAAAGAGCATCCCCAAACCCCAAACCCCAAAACCCCAAAACCTAAACCCTAAACCCTAAAGCCTATACCCCAAAACCCTAAATCCAAAACCCAAAGCCCTAAACCCTAAACCCTTAAACCCTAAACCCTAAACCCTAATCCCCAAGGCCCTGAACCGTAGCCTTTAAAGGGCTCCGATGGCCCTTGAGGTCCCCATGGCGCCAGGGGAGTTGGACTCCACGGCTCGGACGGCGCGGCCTTAGCTCCGCCTCTTTGGCCGCGTTTTTTGTTTGTTTTGTTTTTTGTTTTTGTTTTTTTTTGGGGGGGGGTCCTGTAAGGGTTTAGGGTTTAGGGTTTAGGGTTTAGGATTTAGAGTTTTAGGGTTTTAGGGTTTAGGGATTAGGTTTTCAGGGTTTAGGTTTTAAGGGTTTAGGTTTTGAGGGTTTAGGGTTTTGGGTTTAGGGTTTTGGGTTTTGGGACCCTAAACCCCTAAACCCCTAAACCCTGAACCCTCAACCCATCCTCCTACTGCTTGCACCCCGTTGCCCTTGAGCCCCAGTTGCCAGTTGAGAGTTATGTGTCTAGAGGCTTACATTCAGGGCTTTTTTGTGTGAGTGGAGTTCACGAGAGAGTCAGGGGCGCGAAAGGTGTAGGTTTAGGGTTTTGTTGGTTTAGGGTTCAGGGTTGTGGGGTTTAGGGTTCAGGCTTCAGTTCCTTCAAAGCCGAAAGAACTTCAGGGAGGCAGGAGTGAATTCTTGTGGCGCTGCCATGGGTCAAGGCGGTGCGCGGGAGAGTTTAGGGATTCAGGGTTTAGGCGTTTAGAGTTTCGGGGTTTAGGGATTTGGGGTGTAGGGGTGCAGGGGTTAGGGGTTTAGGGCTTAGGGTCTACAGTTAGGGGTTTAGGGTTAGGGTTCTAGGGTGTAGGAGTTTAGAACCCTAAACCCTAAACCCTAAACCGTTTGGGGCTTTGGGGCTTTGGAATCGAACGACTAAGCCTTGACTGTCGCTTCATTCCCTGGCCAAGACCCCGTCAAATCCCCAAGCCCGAATCCCGAAGCCCTGAACCCTATAAGCCTAAAGCCCAATCCCTAAACCCTATAAACCCTAAGCCCTAAACACTATAAGCCCTAAACCCTAAACCCTAAGCCCTAAACCCTAAACCCTATAAACCCTAAACCCCCAATCCCTAAACCCTAAACCCCAGCCTAAACCTCTCCATGCAAGCGGCCGGAAGCTCCTTGGTGACAGCCGAAGCCTGCAAGGCATCACCCTGCCCCTAAACCAGAAACCATGAACCCTAAATCCCTGAAGCGCTAAATCCCTGAACCCTAAACCCTAAACCCTAAATCCTAAAACTCTCAAGCCTTGAAGCCCTAAACCCTAAAACGCTGAACCTAAACCCCCTTAAAGGTGTTGCTGAGTGTTCAGACAAGCAGTTTCGATGGAAGACTCATCCTCCTCAAAACCGGGTTTAGGGTTTAGGGTTTAGGGGATGTCGAAGGTGGCGAGAATGTTTAGGCTTTGGGGTTTAGGGGTCATCGGCCGCGCCTCGAAAGAGTATTGACTCGCAGAGGACTGAGAGCCGAAGCAATAGCTTTTGTTGACCTCGTTGTGCCCTAAACCCTAAACCCTAAACCCTAAACCTTAAACCCCCCTTTGGCCTCTAAATTTCTCGACGCAGCACCTTTCCGGTTCTCCGGTAACTCCGCCCGAACTGCAGTGCTTTGTGTGTATATTTCGATTGTATGTTATGATCCTATCACACACTACATGTCAAGAGCCGCATGTATATTGTATACACATGTAGTTTAGGAGTCTTCGATGAAAGTAACAAGACCGAAGGCGGCTGCATTCAACATAAGCCCTCTGAAGAACATGGCTCATGTGGCATACAGCAGGATAGATGAGCAAACGAGGGAGACGTCGCTCCTTGGCAAAAGCGCTGCAACTGCCAACGGAACAGACCATAAATCCTTCTCGAACGATATGGTTCGCATTATCGTCGTCTCGGATACACACGGCTTGCACGAAACCTTGAAAATGCCCGCTGGAGATGTCTTAGTCCATTGCGGCGACCTGGCAGACCGAGGGAATGTAGAGGATGTTCGTAGCTGCATTCGCTGGTTCAACTCGCTGCCCTACAACGAGATCTTTGTGGTTGACGGCAATCATGACTGCAGTATTCCCAGTAAGATGGTGCCAGGACAAGCAGTGTTGGACATACACGCCGAATTCGAGAGACTAGCTGATCACAGCAAAGTCAAGCTGCTACAGGATGAGTCCGTTCTGTGTCGCGAGGGGCAGCTATGCATCTTCGGAGCTTCCTGGAGCAGTTGCGCGGCCGACGATTTTGCAAAGATATACCAGACACAGTGGCCTGTTGATGTCATGGTGGCCCATCACCACCCCCAGCTGCCTAGCAAGGCTCTTCCATCGGATCTAGAGCCGGGGGCATGGCAAGGCTCCGAAGCGCTCACCAGAGCCGTGCTGAAAGCTCACATTCCTCTCTGCTGCTTCGGGCACGTTCACTGGGGCCGTGGGTGCGTTCCTCTGCGAAGACGGGGCGGCCTTTATAGCCACTTCGTAAACGCAGCGAATGAGAAGCCAGGCAAGAAGCAGAAAGCTGCAAGCGACAAGCATGCCCTGACGCCACCAGTAGTCATTGATTACAATATTACAACAAGGCAGGTCGAAAAGGTCCAGTGCCCATCGCATCGAGAGGCTGGGAGTCCGCAGTATGCCGGTTCTTTTCACAAAAGCCAGCTGGTGCCAATCATAAATGTAGTGGAACCCCCTTGAGGGGACATCTGGATATGAAGTGGCCCGAACGGACCGAAGCGAGGGTTTAGGGTTTTGGGTTTAGGGTTTAGGGTTTAGGGTTTAGGGTTTAGGGTTTAGGGTTTAGGGTTTAGGGTTTAGGGTTGATCAAACGACTGGAGGACGGCGGTTGTGGTGCGGCGCCGTTGAGTGTGCCGCAGGCAGATGCGCCGAGATCGGCGCATGATTTTCTTCGGGCTCCTTCGTCTGCGGGTGCGGCTGCCATGCAGGGTGTCTACGACGATGCGTCGGGCACCCAGAGGAAGTCTCCCGAAATTGTGCATCTGTAGCCTTGTACAGACAAGCCTTGCAACAATACTTGTGCAGAAAGTTGCTTGGACCTGGCTACTGGGCTGCCAAATGGTTCAAGAGGAGCTTGTGGGATGTTTGGGGGTCACGGGGCTCAACATCATTTTCTGCTGACCTAGCAAAGTTTTGCTGTACCTGATGTATATCGTACCTCATAATCCCGGAGTGATAAGCTGATCACCATTAGTCTTGCACTTCCGCGGGTTTCGCTGCAGTTGCTCGCTTATGGTGTTCGGTGTCCATGGACAGTTTGTTGGGGATGCAGTCGTGCACGCTGCTTTGAAACGGGCGTAGGGCGTAGGGAAAGGCTGATCCGCCTATTCCAGAACCCTCCCTCCCCTCCGTAGGCCGCAGTGCTCAAAACTGCGTAGCCATTATTTAATGGGTCATGATGGGACTTAGTAACTAGGGTTATAAATAAGTTAACTATTCTTATACTTGCTTATAAACCCTAATTAAGGTGCTTATAACCCTACTTACTAAGTCCGATGATCCTCCACGTAGGTCCTAAGTTTTAAATGCCGGCGGCTTACTGTTAGCCCCAAGACCCGATTCTAATTAGGTAAGCGTAGCCAGCGTGCTAATGACTGCAGCAAGAGGAGTCATGAAAATCTGGCAAACAGGAGTGATCTATTCGCAACTTTAGCAAGCACTGCAAACAA